GGGAACGGAGGGTGCTAATGGCCTGCCAGCACAGCCATTCCCTCTCACCCATGGCCATGTGTGTGAAGTTGTTTCTGGGCATGAAGCCCCGGCTGGAAGCTGGGGCTGCACAAACATCACCCCGGGTAACTCTATAATCAACTGAGCTTCCTCTCTTCACCAGGATCCCATGGGAACGTACAGGTGCCTGCCTTTCTCCCAGCACTGCATTTTCAGAAAGCTGACTTTAAATTAAAAGTTTCAAAACACTTTTCATCCCCAAATTCCTACAGACTATCACTTATTAATCCCAGTCTCAAATCCTTAATCTCAAACTTTTGACACACCTAGCCAGACGGTGAAATGTCATTCTTAAAATCGGTTTTAAAGTTCATAAAAAAAATAATTTCTAAGACTAGTGTCTTAGAATTACAGGTTTCTTACACCTGTAATCCTAAACCAGAAGGCTGAGATCTGAGGATTGTAGTTCAAAGCCAGCCCAGACAGAAAAAAAACTAGAGACTCCTTTATCTCCAATGAACCACAAAAAACCAGAAGTGGAGGTGTGGCTAAGTGGAAGAGTGTCAGCCTTGAGTGAAAAAACTAAGTAAAAGTGCTTGGCCCTGAGTTCAAGCCCAGTAACAGCGCACACACACACACACACACACAAACACACTTATAGTTACAACATAGCAGTTAAAGTAATAAATTTATTTTCTACTTTCCTAAATATTCCATGTTGTTACCAATCATAATAAAAAGAACTATGTACATAAAGTTTTACACTTTGTTTTTAGAGATTTCATCATGCTTGATAATGGCTCATTCTAGGCTCTATCGATTATTAGCATAGGAGCACACACATACATGTTCCAGGCTCTATCAATTATTATAATGCATAGGAGCACACACATACAAGTTCTAGGTCTATCAATTACTATCATAGGAGCAAACACATACAAGTTGCCTGAGCTGACCTTCCTACAGCAAGGTTAAAGACCTTTCTACAGCAAGGTTAGTGTGGTACTTACAGGTGGGAAGGCTTAGTTTGCAACAACAAAAAAAATCCCGCTGAGCAAACTATTATCAAAATAGCAAATCTCAGCAGAGGCTAATATCCTCCTACAGACTGTGGAGAAACACTCAGGAGTTAATAGTAAAAATATTCAGGAGAAGAATTTAAAAATCTTAGTTCTTTGCCTCGAGGAAAGACTAAAGAGAATGAGCCAGGATTCCATGCTGCTTAATAATGGACCTACAAGACTCTGAGACTCATCTCTGAGCTGTCAGATCTGACCTGAAAAAGAGAAGTCAACTAGGTTTATATCTCAACAAATTAAAATTGAATTTTGTTCTAAAATCTAACAATTAAATAAAATCCCTTGAGATCATTGAAAACATCCTGCAGCGCTACTCACAAACTAAGAAAGTTAGAGTGCCACCTTAAAAGCTGTTGTCAGCCTTCAGTAGCACAGGTTGTTTCTGTACATACAGCCAAATCAACTGAAAATATTGTCACCACTCTGAATATGTCTGCACTGGACATACTTTCTCCTTATCCTTACTTCCTACATAAAACAGCACTTACAGCCTGGTGCTGGTGGCTCACACCTGTAATCCTAGCTACTCAGGAGGCTGAGATTTGTCTCAAAGTCAGCCCAGGCAAGAAAGTCCTAGAGACTCTTATCTCCAGTTAACCACCAGAAAACCAGAAGTGGTACTGCAGCTTAAAGTGGTAGACCACTAGCCTTGAGCAAAAACAGCTCAGGCCCAGAGTTCAAGCCCCAGGACTGGCAAAAAAAATAATAAAAAATTAAAAAAGCAAACAAAAAGCAGCATTTACAACAAATGAGGTATAAGTAAACTCGAGATGATTTAAAGTACAAGACGAATGTATTCAGGTTACATACAAATAATACCCCATCTTCAGTCATGCGGCTTAAACTCAGGGCCTGGGCACTGTCCCTGAGCTTTTTCACTCAAAGTTAGTGCTCTACCACTTTAAGCCACAGCACCACTTCTGGTTTTCTGGTGGTTAACTGGAGAGTCTCTAGGGGGCTGGGAAGGTGGCTCAGTGGTAGAGCGCTTGCCTTGCACGCATGAGGCCCTGGGTTCCATTCCCCAGTACCACATAAGCAAAAAGAAAAAAAGCCAGAAGTGGTGCTGTGGGTCAAGTGGTAGAGTGCTAGCCTTGAGCTGAAGAACTGAGGAACAGCGCCCAGGCCCAGAGTTCCAGCCCCACGACCCGACCCAAAAAAAAAAGTCTCTAGGACTTTCTTGCCTGGCTGACTTTGAACCTTGATCCTCGTATCTCGGCCTTCTGAGCAGCTAGGGTTACAAAGAGCCACCAGTGCCCTGCTAACCCACCCCATCTTTAAAGAAACCTTGGCTTCCTCCAAGGCACCCCCAAAGAGATTCCCCTGCAAATACTGAGGAAAGGCTGGTTAACAGGTGTTAAGGCACCCACTCTGACCCGCCTCTCAGCAGTTCAACTTTAGTTCTACCCAGTGAAGCCAGGCCTGTGGGATCGGAGGAGCCGCCGAGAACAACTGGCTCAACCTCAGTTTACTGACAGACCATGCGCTGCTCTCCAACGTTTCAATCACCCAGCCTGACATACACACACACCACAATTACCGAATAAGGTACCCACAATTTTTCCAGGGCAGAAAACTCACTTCTCAGGCTGGGAAGGTGGCTCAGTGGTAGAGTGCCTCACATGCATGAGGCCCTGGGTTTGATCCCTCAGCACCACATAAAGAGAAAAAAGCAGAAGTGGACACTCTGCTCAAGAAGTGGCTCAAGTGGTAGAGCGCTAAGCCTTGAGCTGAAGAGCTGAGGGACAGCGCCCAGGCCCAGAATTCAAGCCCCATGACCGACATAAATAAACAAACAAACAAACAAACCTCACTTCTCTAGGCCCCACAAATTACTTAACCATCTCAGATGGGAGGTCTAAATATAGACTTCTCCGTCTTGAAGCGTGTACAGTTTGTGGGAGGAGGGGTGTGGTGGTGGTTTTTCTATGAGGAGCTGAGCCCTGCAGGAAGGTGTGTGCCTGAGCTCCGGCCTACACCACTCTCAGGATTCCACACAGGAGCCCAAGACGCTGAGCAAGAACCTGGCCCTAAACCACTCTCCAGTTTGTTTTGTTGGCAAGCCACATGCAGCATTCTTGTGCTCAATTATAAAGGTTCACTGAGCTCCTACGTCAAGGAATTTTAATACCACAGGCATGATTATGGGGGCGGGGGGAATGCGCCAGTCTCTGGCTAGCTGGAAGAGCACCGAAAAGCTCGCAAAGAAAACCTGGCTCCTCCACCCCACTCTGCCTAGACGTCTTTTGGCATGAGGGAGAGCCATACTTGCAAGGCAGTCAGCCAATACACCATTTGAGGAGACCCCTAAAGCCCAGCAGTAGCCACTTCCTGATACCCCATCCCTCCTCCCTCTCTAGCTATTACACATGCCTTGCATTTTATTTCCCATTGACCTTATCACACAGACATATCCCTAGTCCATTCCTCTTCAAGTCCTATTTTGTCATCGAATGTGGTGCACACTACCTCTGGCTTATTGCTGGTACTCAGTCAATCTCAGGTTCTTCCTGAAATCCCAGCAATTGACTTGGTGGCAATCAGGTAGACCAGGATTTGAGGCCAGCTCAAACACAAGACCCCCATTTCAACAGAAAAACTGGGCAGTAGGACAGAAAATACTTTGGGAGATAAAGCAGGGCTGGGCTGTGGCTCAAGTGATAAAAAGTAGCAGGCTAGCAAGTCTAAGGCCCTGAGTTCAAATCCCAATGTTAGCAAAACAAAATCATCCTCCACGTAGAACTGGAGCAGCTCCCTTGGCAATGGTACAGCTTCCAGTGGGATGTCATACCTGTGAAAAACGAAACTACCCAATCATTTTGTCCACCTTTTATAAAAAAGGCTATCGAGGAGCTACTCAAACCACACTACCCTAGGATGAGGCCTGTGCTCTCCCTCTCTGTGGAAAGAAATCCAGATAATGTCCAAAGTGCCCTACAAGAGAACAGCACATAGCAAGAACTTAAAAAGACCATTTTGAGGGTGTCTGACCTAAGTATCATTTCTCTATGGAAGGCTTTGATTCCAGCTCAGCAAAGCGGGGGAGTCAATTCTCCCAGACTTTCTGCCCTCCTGAGGTGAGACTTAACCATTCTAATTTGGCAGGGTTTGATGTGCATGATCAATTTTGACTGACAAATGCATTGTTACTGAGGAAGAGAGCCTGAAGACATGCTCCTCACGATCACAGCAGGCTGCTGCCACCTTGTGGTTACTGGGTGAAAACGTGCGAGCAGCAAAGCATGCAGGCAGAGCTCGCAAGGAAACAAAAAATTTATTTTATTTTTTGCTCAGATATTTCATTATTTACGAAGTAACTTGGATATCAATCTGAGTTCATTCTTTGTAAACACTGAGTCTGGGTGAGCATTCTGAACTAATCACCTAAGAAGTATAATCCAGAACCTACTTTTTGACAGTGCATAGATGTGGATGATTATAACTCAAATGAGGTAATACCTAGAACAAAGATCTCTTGTTAGGAAAGATGCTCTCTGTCCTAAATCCTTCATTAACTGTAGGTCTTCATCCATCATATCTAAGGGAAGGGCTGCTTCTTCTTCTTCTTCCTCTTCCCTCTCAATCCTTGACTGGTCGTTTTTCCTTTGGGTCTTCCAACGGAATGGGTTTCTTAGAAACAGCATCTTTTACAGCTTGCCTTAGTTTCCTCTCTTCTTTCCCGTACTTCTTGAGTGCTTTGCTGTTTAAATTGCTTATTTTTTAGCCTGTTTTCAAGTTTGACTTTACTAGTTTTTAACAACTTGCGGAAGCTTGGGACCTGTTTTTTATTCCTCCTCGCCTTCATCTTTAGGACTGAACGTCCAATTCAGCTGGGCCAGCGGTGATCCAGGCCCCAAGGCGAGTAACATACGTGCACAAGCCTCCCTTCCTTCGAAACAAAAAATTTATGAAGAGCACAAAGCATCAAGACCATGTGTACAAAAGTTTTATTTCACATCCTAAATATTTAGGTTGAAAATACAAATTAGCCCTATTTGCAAAGAAAGCTTAACAACTGCGAAATCCACCTCCAATCCTCTCTGCAGGACTCAAAGCTTTTTCTAGACCAATATGGAGAACTGAAAAGCCAGCCAACACAGAAAAGCACCTGTCCCCTAAACAGACCTGTTATTTACATAAGATAATGTTGGGTTGGTCTGTGGAGCCAGGAAGGGGTGAATGGTCTGGGTGTGCTGGGCAGGGGAGAGGAGAAGGAGCGTCTGAGGGGTGGAGATGAGTAGATGGTCACAGTCTGCCCCCACCCTTCCTCCTGCCCCCACCCCCCAGCGGGACAGCTTTCATCACCAGTCCTCATCCAAGCACATCACCACGTCCCTCAGCTTCAGCCATTTAAACACGATCCTTGGAGAATGAAGGTGAAGACTGACTGGGATGGGGACGTGGGAAACACGCAGGCCTCCAGTCCAGGGCCAGCCCTCCTCAGATGAGGAAGATGATGCCTTCTGACACCATGACCTGGTTGTCATCCTGCATCCTGTCCAGAGCAGCCTGGATCTCCTCGGGGGAGAAGGGCTCTTCTCGGTCGCGGTTGACAGATTCTGTGAGAAGGTTCATGCCCACAGACTGGGCGTGAGCTTCCCGGAACACGTCCAGGAGGGCCACCTTGAAAGCCTTCAGCCTGCCCAAGACAGGAAAAGGGTAGAGGAGTAAGTCAACCCAACGCAGCCAAAACCCATACTAGGAAAACCTTAGTAAGGGCCATGCAACTCCTCCCTTTTCCCCCACCTCTACCTGTGCCTCAGTTAAAGCTAACCTCCTGTTCTATAGCGATTCCTACATCTTAGGAAGTAACATCATTTGAAAATTAGAGGGCAACATGGAGTCAGAGATTCATGCCTGCAATCCTAGCTACTTGGGAGGCTGAGATTGGGAGGACAGTGGTTTGAGGACAGCCTGGGCAGCAAAGTTTGTGAGACTCCCTTCTTAAATGATAGTTGAACCTGGTGCCACACACCAGTCATCCAAACTACAAGACCTCCAACACAGGCAGAGGGCAATCCAAGCATGCACCCAGGCAGGAAGCAAAAAAAAGATGACAAAGGTGTGGGTCAGTAACAGAGCACCTTTCCTAGAGAGCACGAGGCCCTGAGTTCAACTCCAGTACAGTTAAGAAAAATTAAAACAGAGAGGATGTGTGTGTGTGTGTGTCTGTGTGTGTGTGTGTGTGTGGACTTCTGGTTTTTCTGTTAGTTAAATGGAAATAAGAGTCTCTAGGATTTGTCTCTCTGAACTAACTTTGAATCTTAATCCTCAGATCCCAGCCTCCTGAGTAATTAGAATGAGAGGCAATGAACACGGGTGCCTAGCCTTGAGGCCTTTAAAGTTGCTGTACACTGCCAATCCCACCGTCTGTCTTGGAGGCCAATTCACCCGCACTTACGCTGGATTTTAAAGTGCCTGCTTCCAGGACCTCACTCCCTATATTTCACATGAGTATGACACACTGAGGAAGGCTCCACTGGAAACAGTGGCCATATGGAACCACCAAAACTAAACTCATTGAAAAGATGTTGACACTTCCACACTAGGGAAAACCTGTTACCACTAAGAGTGAATCCATGAGAAGATAAAGCACTTTAGACAGAGTTGTTTCTGGAGGAGCAATTACAACTGATTATCATGGCTTCCCCTAAACACTTCTCAAGATTTTTCTGATTTTTTTGAACACACTGCATTGAGTTCCAGATATATTAAAAAGAAAAGCTAACCTTATCTATGGGGTTTCTTTGGGGACCAGTAAACTATAAGTTTACAGAAAAAAATGTTTCCTCAAACTCTAGCAAAAAACCACTAAAAAACAAATGATCATTTTGAAAAAAGAAAAAGTATCCTATTGAAAAGAATCCAAAGGTATAAAAAGACAAATTTTACCCTTATTTCCTGACCCCTTGAAGATATAATCAAGCTCCCACAGAGAGAGAATTCAAAAAGCAAACTGAGCAATGTGGGATTCTGGGTGGAGTTCTCCATATGATTCTCCCAACTGTCCTGTAAGTTCCACATTCCACTTGGCATAGAAGCATTTTTTAAAACACTGTTGGTAAGCGTTACAATAGCAGAGCTGGTCCTCCCTCAGCCGGAACTCGGGAGGCCCAGGAGCCACATCCCCACTCACCTGGACTCTTCCAACTCCATCTTCTGGGATTCCGCAGTCTCCTGAGACTCGCTGGACTCCTTCTGGGGCTCCTTGGTCTCCTGTGAGTCTGCTGTCTTCGGAGTGTGTACTTCAGAGGATGGACAGAGCACGGATGAGAAGATGGAGGTGAACACTGCCACTATCACCAGAGAGGCAATCTTCTCCACCCCTCACCCCTCTCTGAGCCTGGGAGTGCTCCTGTCTCCCTTGGTTCTTAGAGGGTCGGAGAGACAGAGGAATTGAGTCTGGAGCTGGGGGCTCCGGGGGTAGAGCATCTGCCTAGCAAGCACCAGGACTTGAGTTCAAAAGCAAATGACACCAGAAACTCCCAACCAACCAACCAACCCTCTCTGAAAAAAATGAGTCAGGCAGAAGGGCCCTCAACATACGTTATCTGGAGCACTTAGAGCAGATTTGACAAAAGATCACAGTGTGTGGAGAAGGGAGCAAACAACGGAGCAAAGTCTATTTTCCAAAGTTTTGCTATGGCTTGCCCTGAGTTCTTGCGGCAAGCCCCCTGCACACAGGCCCCTAAGCAGGAGTCAATGTGCAAAGGGCAACTAGGAAGATACGGCGTCAAAGGAAGAAGACCTCTGCTGCACCTGCAACGCTCACTCACCTTGGGGCATCTCCTCCTCTGTGTCACTGAAGTCATAGGGGTCATAGGAGTCCCCATCCTTGGCACCTGACTGACGAGTCTTCCTCCTAAAATACACACCATAGTTAGGTAAAAGGAAAGTTCTCAGCAGCAGCAACAGAACTATCTACAATCAAAGTGAAGTCTAGGCCGAGGCTTACACCAACCATGCAGGCTGAGTCATTTCCTAGCTAGAATGCAACCAGGCTGTTTCCCAATGTTTTTCCCTATTGCCTATAACTGTAGCTACTCAGGAGGCTGAGATTTGAGGATCGACGTTCGACACCAGCCTATAAGGCAATTATCTCCAATGAACTACCAAAAAAGCCACAAGCAGAGCTGTGGCTCAAGTGGTATAGAGTGCTAGCCTTGAGCAAAAAGGCACAGGACAGAGCTCAGGCCCAGCACAAAGGTGTATATCCCAAAGGCGGAATGAGTGGGTTTACTGCCATTTGGCCTATCCACAGATGTGACAGAAAGCATCACTCCAGACACAGCTGGGGCTCGCTCCCTCCCGCTTGTCTCAGGCCCTGTCCCGGAGCCCTGCAGATCCCCGGGGAACTGCTGTCATCCAGCAGCACAGTGCCCTCTACTCTCTCCCAGCAAACAGGGCTTTCTTCTAGTAACTCCATTCTGCCTCACCTCTTCCTCTTCTGCCTTTGGTCCTCCTGGCTTTTTTCTTCTTCATCTTCCGTCTCTGATTCATCTTCACTTCGCTTCTTACGTTTCTTCTCCTTCTCCAGGACCTAGACCAAAGGTAGGCATGGGTGATGTGTGAACAGAACAAAGAACCCCTTCCACATCATCAGCAGTTCTGATGGCCTACCAACCCTGCCCTAGGACCAATGGCCAGCAGAGGGTGGCGCTCGTCCTTCCAAATGTTGGAAGGCCTTTCACATAGTAGGTACTCAATAAACGCTGGCTGAAATAAAAAGCAAATGAAGGTAAAAATCCAAACCGTTCTGGTTACAGAAAATTATTTCTTTGTAATTGAAATGTTTAATGAAAATTTAACACAAACTCCAAACTAGCAAAAGGGAAAAAAAAATCAGGAAAAATGTTACATACACTTGCAACAAGGACTAATGCATTACATGAAGGGAAAGACAGGAAAAAAAGGAGGAAAGGGAAGTCGAGGCTCCCCTTCATCTTTTTTGTGCCAATACTAGGGCTTGAACTCAGGGCCTGAGCCCGAGCTTTTGAGTTCAAGGCTGATGCTCTACTTCTTTAGCCACAACTCTATAAAGAAATCTCATACTTTCCGTCCCAGGCTTGTTTTGAACCATAATCCTCAGATCTCAGCCTCCTGGGTAACTGGGAATATAAATGTGAGCAAATGTGAGCTACCAACAAAAATAAACTATGTGTGTCTGTGTATGTGTGTGTCTGTGTGTGCCAATACTGGCTTAAACTCAGATTTGGGGCACTATCCCACCTCCAAGGCTCACCTTCTTGAAGTATGCATACTGGACCAGCTCCACAGCTTCCTCCGCATCCTGCAAGTCCACGGTCTTGCTCATGCGGGCCTTTGCGTGGGCTGTGGACAACCGAATCAGAGTTTCCAGGGTTCTCGCTGTAACTGGAGATGTCTGGGAAAGAAAACAAGACAGGATTTCTTCCAGAATCTGGTAGACTACCACCAAATACTCCAGGAAGTACATACAAATATTCAAAGGCCAGTTTTCACTGAAGCTGCCATTTAAAGTAGAAATCTTAGCCTCTACTAGCAGAGCTAGAGAACCCAAATCCACCAAGACCACAGCTAAACTAGTGAATTATGCTCAGTTGCTGGCTTCGTTAGAGGGCTTTTGACAACCCAGAACCGTTCATGGGGAGAGAAGGACAAAAAGAGAAGAGTTTAATATGAAGACAAGCATTATGTAATCTTTAGAGAATAAAATTCAAAGTCATGGGTAAAAGTTGACGAAGAGCAAATTTATACCCAATAATATTATTCTAAAGAATTTGTAAGAATTTTATTCTAGGGCTGGGAAGGTGGCTCAGTGGTAGAGCGCTTGCCTTGCATGCCTGAGGCCCTGGGTTCGATTCCTCAACACCACATAAACAAAAAGAAAAAAGTCGGAAGTGGCACTGTGACTCAAGTGGTAGAGCGCTAGCCTTGAGCTGAAGAGCTGAGGGACAGCGCCCAGGCCCAGAGTTCAGGCCCCACGACTGGACCCAAAAAAAAAAAAAGAATTTTATTCTAAAATTCCCATGCAGTAGTGTTTTGAGCACATGGTCACAGGAGCAAACGGTTCTAGCAGAAGACAAAGTAGGCATGAGGCTAGAGTAGAAGGGCCTAGGATCCTATCTAAATCCAAACAAAGAAGTCTGTGTCACCGGATGAGGACTTTGAGCATGGGACTTCCTGCTATAAAATCGTATGTGAGCTACACTAGCCCGCTTAGCATAACCATCACAAATGTTCAACTCACTGATTTGCCGAAAACAGTGTACTAACATCAGTCTGGGACCTCTTCCCTGACAGCCACACTCCTCCAAGGAATGCTAAACATAGCAACTGTCTTCATCTGCACTTAAGCTTTTCACATTCATTCCTTCATAAGAACCACATGAGGCCCATATATATAGACAGATGCGTAATTAATCAATACGTATGATCTCTGTACCTACATTCGGCCTCTCCTTCTCTAATCTAAGCTCTCTGAGGACAGTTCCTGTCTTTTCCCACTGTGGGTGAGAACAGGGTCAAGGTGAGTTCCCAGAAGCCTCTTGTATTCCCTGAATGAGGAACCTGCACTGCTGGAGTCCTTACTTCATTTTCCTTTGGCGAAGGAAATGATGAAAACAGAGTCTACAGGCACTAGCAGAGAGGGAAGTGTGCAGAGACCAGGAAGGATCCCAGTGCCGCCACACTCTGGGAGAGCAGGGACTCCTGCCCAGCATCCCCTCTAAACCCCGTCCGCGCTCCCCTCGGGCCCTCACCCGCGCGGTGTCGGTGCTCATGCTGTCCTGGCTGCGCAGGCGCGAGTACTCCTCGGCAATGTAGGCAGCTGACTCCTGGGTCAGGACCGGCTTGATGATCTTGGCCACGTGGATGTACTTCTTCATGAACGCTGCACTCACCATCTTCTCCCTGGGCCATACACATTGAGTGCCCTTTCCCCACCGCACCTACCACAGGCCCCTCACAATGACCGCTTCCATAAAGCCCTCCCACCTGCTCAAATTTAATTTGAGGTAGTATTTCTAAATTGGGTTGTTTAAGAAGATGATTAGGTATTGTCTATTCATTGTACAAATGCTTCTCTCTGTGCCCCAGGATTCCTATGGCCTTGAACATCTGCTCCCAAGTTTCTTTTAGCCAAACCCACTGGCCGAGTCTCTGCTGAGTGCTATACCACAATGCCAGGTATGAGGAAGACTTCACACACACCATCTGCTGGGAAGGCTGTCAGTTTCTATTTTAGGAAAAGATCTGACCCTGAGCTGAGTCACCCACAAACATTTCCAAGACAATCAGCCAAGACAGAGTATACATGAGCAAAGGAAAAATGGCCCCCAGGGTTATGGCTCCTTGGCCTGAGCAGAGTGCTGCATTCTAACAAGACACAAACTGCAGGCTCCCTCGAGTGGGACAAGAAATGCTCACTTTTTCTTCTTGGTCCCATGCAGCAGGTTGTCATGCTTCTCATAAACCTGGGTGTCCTGATGGTCGTCCAGGCTGAAGTTGGGATCGTCGGTGGCCAGGATTTCCACAGCGCTTCCCAAGGGCAGGGCTGGTAAAGCCAAGTTGAGAGAGGGGAGTGAGAAAGAGGGGAACCCAAGGGAAGATGCTTCTCCAGCACAGGAAGACCAGACCCAGAAGGTAACAGCTGTGGAGAACCTATGGGGAAGCAGGTGGAAGCAAGCAGGTGGAACTACCTGGCTCACTGAGTTGACCAAAGGCACTCTAGAACCCCAAACCTGACATTCTCTGGGGCAGGTGAGGGTATCTGCAGCATCAGCGCAGATACCCAACACCCATGCCCCGCCGGGCTGGGCAGTCAGAACCCCTTCCGCTGGCCACCCTCACTGTCCCAGGGCCTCACCATCACCATCCTGCTCCCCGGGGGCCCTGTAACGGTGCATTCTGAGGACATGGTCTGAGATCTCCCGATCCTGCTCAGGATCCATCTGATCCAGCATGATGAAGAGCAAATCAAATCGGGACAGCAGTGAGTCCTGCAGCCCGATGTTTTCCATGGGGGTCTTGTACTGATCATACTGGGAACACAGAAAGAAAGCAGAGTAACATCAACAGCAGGCACGACATGAAGCCACGTCAAATCTGGGAGTGGAATGAGAGAACACAACAGACAAGCAGCAGCAAAAAAACAACCTCTGTTACAGCCTTTAAAATCTATAAACCATCTCTTCCACTCACAAGCTGGCTGAAGCTCAAGCAGCCTGAGCTAACTCAGAAGCCAACCTCCGCATACAGGAGTCTCTTACAGGCTGATTGTGGCTCTCAAGTTCTGCCCCCTCCTTCCCAAGCTCAACTGAGATCTTCTTAGTCTCAATGCAGGATGGAATCTGAAATGATCCACCTCCCATACCTGTTGTCAGGATAGAGACACACCAATAGGTCTAAAGTTCAGATCCTGGAGTCTCTTACTCAGAAGATAGTGAGTAAAAAAATCTCAATAAATGTCTCACGGGTCATTATGAATCCTAACAGCTTAGGGATCCAGCACATCCCTGGGATTTAAGAAAACGAATACTCGTATTTTCCCATTTTAGAGAATTATTTTTAAATAACTCACTTTCCAAAGGATTCTGTGTCATCATGGTGGTAAGCTGCCACTATGAGCCAAGTGCAGTAATTCAGAAGCGGGCTTAGGTTAGTCTGACCGGTTGTGTACCCCACACTCTCAGCCAGTGATAGGGTAAAACCCAAGAGGGGCAGGGACAATGATCAAGGACCTGATTCCACTCACCCTGCCGTACACGGGATTGGCAGCTGCCAGAACACTGCAGCGGGCATTCAGGCGCGCGTGGATGCCAGCCTTGGCAATGGTCACCCGGCCCTGCTCCATCACCTCATGGATGGCTGTGCGATCCATGTCAGACATCTTGTCAAATTCATCAATGCAAACCACGCCACGGTCAGCCAGGACCATGGCCCCCGCTTCCAGACGGCGCTCCCCTGGGGAGAGGGGAAGTGAAAATGCCTGCTGTGGTCAGGGTCGAAGGACAGGGAAAGGAGGACTCTGGCCTCCTTGTTAGGCATCTCTCACTGCAGCATACAAGAGATGGCTGCTGGAGACTGAAGGAAATCCTAGAGCATCACCATCTAAACTCCAGCCTGCACAACTGTCTGTCCCACTTTTACCAAGCAAGCTTTGGAAAGCCCTTTTCTTCACCTCACCCTCAAGTGACAACCAATTAGACTTCTACTTCTCACTGGTCTTCAAGTCTTTCCTCTGTTCATGAAGCTGTCTAATCTTCATTTTCATTTCCCTTGTAATGTACTAAGCTTTCTCTTTGGAAATGCTTTCAAATCACATTCTAGGTAGCCCTGACATCAAAAGATCATACGGACACTTAAATAACTCATCTACTATTGCAGGATCCCCTGACTTATACAATGTGGCCCCATCAACCTTCCAAATGTATCTTCCACACACAGCCTGTACCCACAGCACGTTCAAAGACTCTGCTCAGTCTCCCACTGGGCCGTACCTGTTTCCTGGTCTGTGGTAACAGCAGCTGTCAGCCCCACTCCAGAGGAGCCTCGGCCGGTGGTAGGAATGGCCCGGGGTGCAGTGCACAGCACATACCGCAGAAGCTGAGACTTGGCAACGGATGGGTCTCCTATGGACGGAGCAGTGATGACTCTAGGAAATTCCTTCCCTTTCTCCCCAGCCACCAAGTTCGATTCTTCCAGCATACTTCTCAGAATGATATAGACATACAATCATGGATTGTTAAATATTATTTCCTTGACTTTCTCCTTTACCATTTCACAAGAATATATTCAACTGCTTTTTGAATTTACGTAGGTACTGGGGCATTTTAGGTATTATAAATCAAGAATAAGATCCACAGTAGCCTTGACCTGGGATGGGACTGAAGTGTGACCAGGTACACAAGGCACAAGCTTTCACACTACAGTCTTAGCTGCCCCATCTCTCCACACACTTGGGGAGATGGTTGGCTTTAGTCTAGTGTGCCACCATACCTATCAGGAGAATGTTGATGTCCCCACGGATGTGGCTGCCGTTTTCAAGGTCCCGTTCTACCCCTCCCAAGAGCAAGCAGAGGATTGCCTTCTTGACATAGTCGTGTCCGTGGATACTTGGAGCCAGCGACCGCGCCAGCTGGTCAAAGATGTCCTGGAGGAGAACCAATGGAGTGAAAAACTTAGTGACACTCAGGGACTTCTTTCTGTGGAACGTGAACTACACAAACCCAAACACTGTACTTTACGGCAGAAGCTCCTGCTCTACAATAAACCACACATCAGAACACGTATCAGAGCAGGTGAAGACATAGCCTAGATCTGAATGTTTGTTTCAAGGCTTATTCCTCAAGAAAAAAGAACAAGGGGCTGGGGAAGGCGGCTCAGTGGTAAAGTGCTTGCCTCGTATGCATGAGGCCTTGGGTTTGATTCTTCATCACCCTATAAGCATAAAAAGCCGGAAGTGGCGCTGTGGCTCAAGTGGTAGAGTGCTAGCTAGCCTTGAGCTGAAGTGCCCAGGCCCAGAGTTCAGGCCCCACAACCAAGCAAAAAAAAAAAAAAAAGAAAAAGAAAAAAGAACAAGCTGGGTTGTAACTCAGTGGTAAAGTGTTAGCCTAGCATACACAGACGCTGGGTTTGCAAAAAAAAAAAAAAAGGGGGGGTGGCAAAGTTCAAAACATTTGGGATTTATTACGAATGTATTATCCTTTGGCAGTAACTTTTATCACATGTTCAATTCTTAGTGTGCAAATCCTGTCTTTCCCCCCATTCCCCAAAATCCTGTCTTTAAAAAGAAAAAAGGACAGGAAAAATATGAAATGGAGAACTAAAACAGAGACAATCACACTTAAATCAACTACTAATGTATCACTCTTCCCCTACACTTAAGACTGGTGCACTGACCCGCCATCCTGTCCCAGCCCACTCCAAGGTAAACAGAAAGCCTAACTCCCACTCTCATACTGGGTTCACGATCAGCCCAGCAGGCACCACAACAGAATGACAGATCAAATGGAAAACCTTTTACTTCTGGTTGGAACAAAACTGGATGAAGCCAGCAACCAATATTTCACAGAAGGTAATCATCACCATCATCATCATCATCATCATCATCTTCTTCTAGCTCAAACATAGAAACAGCTAGAACCCAAACTCTTCAAATCCTTTCCCAGCCTTAAATCCCCAACGATGCCCAGACCTTGGAACGGGTTTTACTGAACTTCTTGATCTTGGCTATGTCCTCCGCAGAGAATGAGGGCTGAATGTCCTTGCTCATTTGCTTCACATTGCAGGCAATCAGAACAGTCCTGGGACAAAGACAAGAGCCAGACAGGCAAATGAGGGCAAAATGAGAGCCAGCAGGGGGGCTGTGCTGAACCGAACGATCAACTCTCTCTGTCAATGACCTCAAGAGGATGACAATGTCTCCTTCTGTCACTTATTTATCTCCTGCTGACACACACAAGTTGGGAGAAGGAATAGGAATAATTGAGAAGCTTCTAGGTGAGCCATAACACTGTATCATGTCACTAACCATTCCTGCCCTCGGCCTAAGACAGTAAATGTCACCAGTTCCACCTGAAAGGACAGAGGCTTAGGAGGCATCCACTGTACAGACAGGTGCTTCCCTCAACGGTTAGAACTCTTTGAAATACAGCCAACTAAGCCAGGCGCCGGCAGCTTACACCTGTAGTCACAGATACTCAGGTGGCTGAGATCTGAGGACTATGGTTTGAAGGCAGCCCAGGAAGGCAAGTCTGTAAGATTCTTATCTTCAATTAATCACCAAAGAGCAGAAAGTAGAGCTGTGACTCAAGTGGTAGAGTGCTAGCTTGAGTGCAAAAAGCAGGCACTGAGTTCAAGCCCCCGTACAGCCAACTAGTCAACTAGACCAAGAATATACTGCTAGGAATAGAAACTGCTCGCCGTTTTCCAGAGCCCATACCTGAAGGTCCCTGAGGTGTAACCTTCCTTCTTGCCAGGAAGGCAGCGGTAGGTCCCCACCACCTGGATTCGGTCACCAGGCTTCACCTTATCCACCAAGTCATCATCTAGAATGACATCCACGGAGCGGGGCAGCTGTCCCGCGGGGGCCTTCTCTGGCATCTCCTGGATAGTGATGGTCTGGTGGTCCTTATAGACAGAAAGGCCATATTCCGTCTCAAGAGGATTGTTCTCCTCATCCTGAAAAGAGGCACACAGAAAAATAGTTAATTTAGTTTTGTGTTTAAAATGGCACACCCATTGGGCATCTAGCATGAGCAACATGACTGAGAAATGGCTTCATGGAATTTTGGTATCTAGAAACAAAACTAAAACCAAGTTATCTTCTCCATTCTCCAGCCTCATTTCTGGTCTGGTAACAGTCTATCTAACGGAGAGTCGCGGTCAGATGGAAAGGGAAACATTAACATGGAAGTGGGGGTTCTTACCCCCCTACTGAAGCTGCACACATGCTTACACACTGAGGCAGCACCCAAAGCCATTCTCTACAAGGCTCTCAGCAGCACTACTTCTAAGAGGCGGTATTACAAAGTAGCAGGCAGTATTACAAAGTATCTAAATTAAACTGCCTCTAAATGGATACTCTACCCTAATGTAAGAAAAACAGCAGGACTAACTCAAAATATAAGGCTGAACAAAAGCAGTTCAACAAGGAGAGCTGAACATGCCATCTGGAGGTAGACTTGGTGATTCTGAAGCTAATCTATGCTTGTTTCCGGTGTCTATGTGTTTGATTTCTCCATCAGCTGGCAAAGTCAAAGACAAGACTGGGTATAATTCCTATCTTGTCCTCCATACTGGATATGATTGCTTTGAAAATCTGACAGGAGGAGATTCTCTGACAAACTGATTTAGACTCAAGTAATCAGTTTTAATAATCGTGTCTTACAAAGGAAGCCTCATATCATCCTTCAGTCAAGTCAATCTGGACACATAAAGGCAGCCCTCCGTCTACCAGTCTTCTCTCAAATCCACAGTGAAATCACAGAGCAACATTATGTTACAAAAGCAGTTTTCATTTTACTTTTTCTTAAGACCATAAAATTGCTTTGCTACACTTTTTTTTCACTTTTTGCACTGGTCCCTGGGGCTTGAACTCAAGGCCCAGGCACTGTACCTGAGCTTTTTCACTCAAGACTATTGCTCTGTCATTTGAGCCACAGCTGAAGCTGTGTAGTTAACTGGAGTTAAAGAGTCACATGGACTTTCCTGCCCTAGTTGGCTTCAAACTACAATCCTCAGATCTCAGCCTCCTGAGTAGCTAGAATTACAAGTATGAACAACCATTGCACAGCTAAAGTATTCTTAAAAAAAAAAAAAACAAAAAAAAAAAAAACCAAGGCTGGGAATGTGCTAGCCTTGAGCAAAAGATGCTCAGGGACAGCTACCCAGCCCTGAGTTCAAGCCCCAGGACTGGAAAAAAAATATTTGTGAAGTTTCCACATTAAACTGGCAATCAATCTTTCCTTTAGACTAATCCTTACTTTCCATCCTGCTTACTTCTAAAACAAAGACTTCAGAATTACACAATCACTTGGATTAAAAATCATTCTGACTCCAACCCCTAAGGAAGCCCAGTTGTTTCAGGACCCTCACCTTGGTGGGGTAGACAGAGCTAGATGGAAAGGCCACAAGGGTGGTGAGGTCGGAGTAGCGCCGCTCTATAGTCTTCTTGGTAGCAGGGCAGTAGTGGACACTGCGAACAACTTTGGGCCGAACTAGAGAGCCTTGGAATGAAAAATGTGCACACAAAGTCACCAAACAAGAGAATAACAGAAGTGACATCTAAATCCATGAGCTCCAAATCTGATGTTCTCCCAACCATATTAAGCTATTGCATAACACTTGCCATATATAATTTTTATATCTACATACAGAACATCACCATATCCAAGTCAGATGCTAAGTACCACTGATTGCTACTAAAAATCAGTCGTTCACGGTTGGAAATGAAACTGCCATCAGCTCTTAGCAGAATCCTCCTTCTGCCAACACACAGTCAATTACATGGACACAGTGAACTTGCACAAGTTTTGCCATGTAATTTCATCACCCTGCCTCTCTGAAGCCATCTGAGTTGTAAGGCTCTCCTGACTAAGCCTAACCCACCTCCACTTCCTTAGTGCCCCTTTATTAACCCACGCACATTTAGTGACAATGCCCTCCACGCAGACTACGCAGCTGAGGAAGCAGGAAGTAAGGGTCCGAGGAGAGACGTGCTTAGAGCCAAAGCTGCCCTCCAGTCCTATGTAGAACTCCTCATACTGCTTGGCATAGGTAGCATCGATGGAGGCCACAAAATCTTTTAAGGCTCGCTGGAAGGCAACCAGCTCCTCAAAGGCATTGCTCAGGAGGCTGCGGGGGTCAAAAGAAAGAATAATTAGGCAGAGCAGGTAGAACTCAAGAAAATGAACCCTCACGATAGAAATAACCACTCTTAGATCATCATGGTAAAAAAAATACAGCTTCAGAGGTTGGTGAAGGGGACTTGCCTAGCGAGTGCAAGGCCTTGATTTTGGTCTTCAGTTCAAGTGGGATGGGAACAGGGATCCAGCTCCTACTTTCTCCTGCCATCCTATGATTCAAGCAAATAAACCAGAGTTCTGCAGACTAATTTATCAGAGATATGAATATTAGATTCAACTAAACACTGGACGGAGAGAAAAATGAACCATCTCCTTTTGAAAATAACAAATTAAAAACTAAATAAAGTATAGGAGCAGGGAAGGCAATGAGGGCTTCTAGGTTAACCACATTTCAATGAGGCCCCCTCCTGAGTAGACTTTCCAATCTGACCGCCAGGGAGGTGGGCAGTCTGAGTGGGTGCCAGGACGCTGACTGGCCTGTGGACTCACCGGTTAGCCCTCTTCTCGTTTTTTCTTCGCAGGTCATTAACATTGACAATTAGCCGGTATTGGTTGTCACTGATCAGGTCTCGAACTTTACTCTGGTAAATTCCTTGGTCTTCCTACAAAACAACAGCACAAACTCAAAAATGTGTCCAATCAGAAGAAGCAGCTCTTGGTGAGGGAGAGGATATGTAAGTGAACCCTGGGAACAGCTCAATCCCGGTGTGCCTTACTTAACCAGTTCTTGGCTCACCTTCGCCCTCTACTGGAGAGTATAATAACTACAGGGCCCATGCCATCACCCCCACCTTCATCCACAGCCCTCCGCACTGGCACTGCCTTCATGGGACATGAACATGAACTCAGAAAACTTGCTAACATGTACATTTAAGCCAGACACTGTGGCTCCACGCCCGTAATCCTAGCTACTCAAGAGGCTGAGATCTAAGGAGCTTGGTTGGAAGCCAGCAGGGACAGTGCAAGAGAGTACAAGAGACTCAGTTCCAATTAACCATCAAAAAGTCAGAAGTGGGACTGTGGCTCAAGCGGTAGAACACCTGCCTTGAGCAAATAAATAAAACAGCTAAGCGACAGCACCCAGCCCTCAGTTCAAGCCCCAGTACTGGCACATAATACATCCATCCATACCCACGCACAGGGGCTGAGTGAACAATGGAAATGGGTATGTCTTTCCTTGACGGTATCACTCATCCCAGCACGTTCTGTATGCTTAAACAGAGGTAAGAATGAGCCGCGAACCACCTTCTAGCATTCGTGCCCAAACCGCTTTGGCTTATCAAGCTTCCCCGACGCTCGCCCATGGGGACCCCGTCCCTGCCCGGTCTACCCGGCACCGGAAGTCGCCTCGTTCGACACCGGGCGCAGAGCGCGGGCGAGCGCATTCGGAGGTCGGAGGCTGGGGCCCGGGGCCGAGGCGGCACCGCAGGGCGCTGGGGGGGCCGGGCG